TAGTTTGTTAACTGTAGTGCTGGCTTGTACTAACATGTGCATGGCTACCTATTAAAGACTTGATGGGTGCATGAGTTGGTTTCTATTGAACATTCAAGAACTAACAGGAAGAGACTGTGTGCTTCCTATCTGAAAAGTTCTAATGTTTTAGGGGTGCACACAGCTCTGGTGTTTTAGGGGTGCATATGAGCTGTCAGTGTTCAGAGGCTACTCACAGAGTCTAAGCCAACCAATTATATTATCAACAATGTTCACTTAGCTGCTTAATAAACAAAATACATTTATGAATGGCCTATAGAAAAAGCCATTTAACAATGGGTGGTGAGTATGACTATGGGACCCTGGGTAGGAAATTCAAGGTGACATTAGTGCATGAGGGGTAGGCCTGGGTTCTAGCTCTTACTCTTGAACAGAAACAGAATTTCACATGTCCTCCATCCACATTGTGACACGATAAATCTTATTTTAGAACTTTTCCCTCCTCTTTATATTTCCCCCTTTTCCTTTCTCTGAAATAAATAGTACTTCATTTACTTTACTTTGTTATTTTGGTTTTGTTTGTTTATTAGATTTTTTATTTTTTTTCTTTTGGCTCAGTTTCATATATTGTTACCATGGAATCGTCTCTAAACCTTTCCCTGTTCTATAGTCCTCCCTCTTCCTCTTCAGATATTAAACTCTGCCACAGTCTCCTATTGAAGTAGTGGCTTTCAGAACCTTTCCCTCCTGCTGTGTCATGTCAGGGAGGGATTTTTGATGTGTGTGTGTTTATCTGTATATGTCTGTGTGTCTGTCCATGTGTGTGTATACATGTGTGTTTGCACATGTGTGTGTCTGTATATGTGTGTGTCTGTATATGTGTGTGTACATGCGTGTACGTATCTGTACATGTTTGTGTCTGTATATGTGAGTGTGTATCTGTGTGTGTCTGTATATTTGAGTGTGTGTGTCTGGTGCCTTTCTCTTTAATCCTTAATTACTTTTACTCTGGATGATCCCGTTTTGTGATAATGTCTAAGAGAGTGCAGTGTGTGAGAGAATGACCTTGACGACATGGCAGTCTGTTTTCTCAGACGATGTTCATGGACAGTGTGACTGGATATAAAATTCCAGATTGGAAACTCATGCTTCAGAAGAGGAAGATGCCGTTTCGCTTGTGTTCAGAGTCCCACAGTCTGACTTCATTCTCACTTTAATCTTTTTCTTGTTTCTTTTTCTTTCTGAAAGCCTCCAGGATTGGCATTCTAAAATTGTACAAGATTATGAATCTGTTTCAGTCTACGATACTGGGAACTTTCTTGGTCCATTCTGTTGTGGGAATTTTGATCACACTGTGACACTCTAAGGCTTAAAGAAAGTTTTACAATGAATCGGGGGGCGGAGCGAACACCTACCCCAGTTGGCCATAGAGACGCCAGCAGTTTGGATAGAGGAGCCACACTGGAAGGAAAGGGTGAGGACTTGAATTGGGTGCTTTCTTTTGGTTTTCAGGGCAAGTGAGGAGACACATCTCTTGATGGGCCTTTACTCAAAATGAAGGTCAGCTGTTGCTTCTCAGCCTCTCTGAGCTAGCAGGTTTTCACCCCACATCTGACGTCCAAATGTTTGTTGGTAAATAGAACAATAGAGACTTAGATTAAACCTACATACAGCAGCCATGGCAAAGCCAATGCCATGGGTTGACAGGGCTTTGACTACAGGACCATGGGGCTGCTGTATGTATGTATGTATGTATATATATATATATAAATGAAATATCAGTATTGTAATATATATATTACAATAAATGAAGTATCAAGAGATTCATGAACAGCTACTAAGCCGTCAGAAAAACATCACCATTTGGTATTGAAATTCCTGTTTTTCAATTCATAGAAAGAAAACTGATTTCTTAAAGCCCCTGGATTTTGTTATATGGATAGTGATCTCTGCATATTAGTTTTTAAATGTTTCTTATTTTCTGTCTATCTTTGCTTTCTATATTGGAAGACAAGTTCAGTTTGATTTTTAAACTTTCTGTTAGGGATTAGAGATACACGTAGAGATTGTGCCTAACATAACTGGGCTCTAGATTCAATCCTCATGACAGTGAAAGCAGGAAAATAAATAAACATAGTTTTGTTTTCCCAATTAACTTAATCCATGCTGCGCATTAGATTCCGATGTCTAAATTTTGACCTCATGTGCTCATTTGTGCTTGATAGCCTCTGGCTTTTCCTTTGCTGTTATACAGTGGTCAATGTATAACATTTGTCAATGTTAAGGCACTTTTAGAATTATTTGCTCTTTGTATTTTGTGTCCCCAAAGATGCATTTTTTTTCTTCTTTGTGGTTTCTTTTTCTGAAGCTTTCCTTCAATGCTTGAGTGTCCTTGGCTGCATGTTCATACTGAAAAACATATGTGAAAGCGTCAATTGGAAGCTTTGGGTTTCTATCTAGAACTAGACAACTGTACCCTTCACGGAGGGGAGATTTGGTTGACAGGAAGGAACAGCGTATTTTATATTTTCTCTGCAAATCTGACCACCCTATGAGCAATCTTTTCTGTGATCTCATCATTGAAGCCAAAGTATGAATGACTACTTTTTAGGAATTCCTGTGAAAGCAGGGGAGAAAGAGATCTGAAAAGTTCATATGCAGATATTCATTTCAGGTTCTAGTCAGGGTGTGCTGGAAACCATTCAACCAGTTCACAGGCCTGCTTGGCTCTCTCCTGACTACAGAAGTCCATATTCCCACAGACTTGGCTAAGAGCAACATTCATTTCCCGAGCAGAAGACAGGGTTAGGTGTTTGCCTCAGTGCAGTTGACTCTCTTTTCCCATTTAAGGTTCTGCCGTGCTCCTCCCTGCAGTGGGCCAGTGTGAGCCATGCTGGAGTCAGATGTGGTCAGGTCCCCAGTGCCCTGAAAGCTGATTCTGCTTTTTTGAGATCAGCTTTCTGGTATCTTTAGTACTGTGTTGCCACTCATTCATTTTGTCTTTATGGATTTATACCTTTTTTTCTTATTTGCTTAAAGTTATCTGTAGCTATTTTTAGAGAGTTGAGAGAAAGAACCACAAGGAACACCCATGGGTGAGTTCATCTGCTTTCCTGCAAGTTTGTCTGGGGCTGATTTAAAACCATGCATCTGAATCTTCCTGGAACTTCTCTACATAAGTATAGGTATAGTATTTGAGGGACAAAAGTGTTTTTGGTTTTGGTTGATTTTTGCAGTACTAGGGCTCAAACCCCGCCCTTGTTAGACAAGCGTTCTACTACAGCGCTAATATCCAATAGTTCCCAACATGTTCTTTTTAAAGAAAAGTGACTGCTTAAGGTAATGCTCATCACCTGACAATCATGGTATTGATGGGCATAAGATGCTTTCTGGAACAGATTACCTACCAAGCTGAAGCATGTATATTAAAAACTCGGTAGACATATCTATCCAGATTCTAGCCACCATTTCTGCCTGGCAGTGTGGCTGTGGTGGGTAAAAGCATCCTTGGTAATATTTGCATAGGTCTGGGTGCTTTCTACTGTGATTGTTTCCAAAGACACTAAGTCACCTCAGAACTGTCCACCTGTCATGCATTTTCTTTTTTTTTAAATGTTTCTTATTACCATTTTTATTCCAAATATACAAATTCTGAGGCAAGCCGTGCCAACTTACAGCAGCCCAAAGGACATGTGTTTTTGTTATGTTTAAATGGTTAGCTGGTAGCCATTCCTATCTTCATCAACAGGTGATAAAAAGAGAAAGTGTCCATTATGCCATGAAAATGAATCTGCGGTAGCCACAGAAACCAATCAGCAGAGCCTTGGTTTTGAGGTAAAGGGGCCAAATGCCGGGCTCAGGATCACAACCACAAGACTCAGTCACAGCTTGCAATTTGCCCAACATCTTGAACGACTTTCCACATTTGATTTTTTTTTTCCTTTTCAACATTTTTTCCACTTTGCTTTGGAACATCTCCAGATTGTGACTTTTAGAAGCAAAGACATGTATCTGTTGGGACTGGGCTCCATCGCTCTGCGTTCTGATTGGTTGTGGTTTTCTGTAATGGTCTGGCTGTTGGAAGAAGTTGCCTTGATGGTGGGTGATGGCTACATTTATCTGCGGGGATAAGGGCAAACACTGAGGATGCAGCCAGAGATTATTTTGGTTTAGTAAAGTAGCGGTTGTAGGTTCTTCTCCAAGATTGTGTCTCCTACAAATGTCAGAAGCTAGAGCCACAAAATCTCACCAGCATGGCTCCCAAAATTGGAGCTGAACAGGACCAACAGCAATAGTCCTTCTAATTGTGTGAGGAAAAGCCCAGAAGCCTGAACCCTAAACAAGTAATGAACAGCAGGTAACTAAGGAGTTCTGAGAGCAGGAGAAGTAGTCTTCTCTGGGAAGAGCACGCCAATTGGTTATCTAACACCACTAGCCAGCCCTAGAAGCACACATACAAGTACTATTATACAGACCGAATAGATTGTACTTAGGAATATTTGTGTGTATATGGAGACATTTATGCATGTGATAACAAAGAAGAAAGGAGGCCACACTTTTGAAAGAGAGCAAGATAGGATAAATGGACAAGTTTGGAGGGAGGAAAGGGAAAAGTGAAATTATGGAATTGTATTATAATCTCAAAAAACAAAATTTAAAATATGTGAGGATATACAAATTATTTCAACAAAGTTTCCATTTTAAATATTATTGCACAAGCTTGCCTTTTTCTCCTTGATGTTGGTTTGTCTCTCTGCCTCTCGCTCCTTCCCCTTGCTGACCTTTTCCTCACCCCTTCCCTCCCTAACTTCCTCTCCTCCTTCTGCTTTCCCTCCTTCCCATCCATCTTTCGTTTTGTTTTGTTTTGTTTTGTTTTTCCTTCAAGTCAGTTTTACTTAAATCAGGACTGTCCAACAAAACATTGTTAGCCATTCATGATCTGAATTTGGGGGTATGAATTAAATTACGGTGCACATTAAAAGTCATGAGACATTTGTTTTGTAATAAATAAGGCAGTGGAATTACTCATTAATAGCCTTTTTAAGACAAGCTATTAGGTCTGCGCTCTCTCCCTTCTTAATTCCAGTGAAGATTATTTTTATTCCAGGGGTGTACTTTTTGGGATTCTCCAAATACTCCATCACGGTATCCTCTCCCCAGGTGATGCCTTTGTTCTTGTTGGCATCTGTGTATGAGAATCCAGTCGCCTGACCTGTCTTCCTCCCAAACAGACCATGGAGATTTGCTCCAGTCTTTTTCTTGCCTCCCTTTTCCACAGTGTGGCACTGGGCACATTTCTGAACAAAAATCTTTTTGCCTTTTTCAACATCACCCATTTTAAACTCACTCCTTGGTGATCAACACCACAAATGCTGCCCGAAGACGGACGTCCTGCTCTCTAGCCCAAGGACACACCGGCTTGCACCTATGTACCAGTGTCGGTGCAACCACACTTGTTCATGTCTTTTCTTATATACTGCTTCATATAAGCATAACTCCCTTACATGTTTGGCCTAAGCAAACCACACTGTTTTATCTTTGGCCCATCTAAATATCCTGTCTACATCAAAGGGACATATTTTGTATCTAATAGAAACTCTATTTTTAGTTAATTATAAGAACTTTAAGAATGTTCCAAGGCTGGAGATCTGCTTGGCTGTGAAGTGTACTGTGAACTGTTGTTGCAGAGGACCTGAGTTTGGTCTCCTGCAGCCATGTCAGGAACTCAAGATCTGGAGCATCCGATGGCTTCTTCAGGTCTCTGCAGGTACTGGCGCTTATCCATACCCATACAAAAGCATAATAAAAAATCAAACAAATCTATAAAAAATAATTCTAAGAATATTTTAAGATTGAAAGAGCCAGTTAGCTTTCTGGAAAAGGTTACGCTGATCCCTGTCCTCTTGATAAGCACAAGGTTTCTAGCAGTTTCTTGAAAGTGTTCTCTATTGATTGGGAAAGCATCCTATAGGAGGCATCTATGTTTCATTCCTGGTATATCATGTGTTCGATATTTATTCGCCTGTGGATAAGTGTATGTGTACATATTCTACTATATACATACTATGAATGTGTTGTATAGGCAGTATGGATAATATAATATGTAACCTTATAACTATAAAATTTCTACATTTTACATATGTATGTAAGTACTTATATCTGCATTATTTGTCGACTCATTTATTTATTTATTTATTTGGGTGAATGATAGGTAAAAAGCAGAGAAGGGAGGACTTTAATATTATTTCAATTGCTTCTTTGGTTAGTAAGCATCTGCCTTCAGTCAAACGAGAGTCATCATACTCTGGTTCTGGTGTAGTCTTTTCTGATGCAAGCCAAGAAGTGTGACATTATCCTGGTAAATGATCTGACATTCAAAATGGCGCAGGTCTGGACATTTCATCAGAATTTACCTAGGAGATAGCTAGGAGAAACTTCAGGGGTAATTTTGAAGCAGAAGAAACTGGAATATTTGAGCTTAAGTCCCTGTACTTTGGGAAGTACCTAGCCCTTGTGTGCAACTCGTCAGACATCTTTAGTTTTGTAGAAATAGCCTCGTGAATGGTCAATCTAACATGTGTCAATGATGTTGTTCCTAAGATGATACTGTAGTAGCAATCTGGCAAGCCTATGTGTGCATGGGGGTTAGTGCTGTGTCATATTAAGAAAATCATCTTGTCATTGCTTTATTTTTATAGTTATTACTATTATCACCATCAAGGTTTGGAGAACAACTATCATTTAAATCACACCAGGAATTCCAGGAGGGGAAGTATACCTGCTTGTTCTCATCTTCTGGAACACATTCTTGGTGTGTGTTAATTAATACTGAAGTTTTAGAGACTAAGCGGTATTACAACTTTCTGAAGTTTAAGAGTCAATGAAATTGAATATTTCTGTGTTCAGTATGTTCTTTTCTTTTGACACAACTCTTTTAATTTGAAAGAGAGGATATACGCAAAGGCAAATGAGTACTGAGCACATGGACTCTGGTGCCAGTGTTCCCAAGTAAAAGTCATACTGTACCTTCTGTAATCAATCAGAGGAGTCGGGAATGTTCCTGTCACCAGGGAAAGGATCATGGCATTAGGATGGGATGTCCGTTTACATATAACTTCATACTCTGATTTATTGGTCGTCTTGTCTATAAGCATATTTAAATAGATTAAATAGTATGCATTCGTTGAGAGGGAGATACTTTGAAAAATAAATTTGAGATGATTTCATTTTGAAAGTGGAAAAGTTAAACTAGGGAAGAGTGAAGTTGGGTATGATTATTTTCTAGAACTGTGAGATGCATTGCAAATGGCCTGACTGAATTCCAGCACTAAAACCCAAAAGATAAAAAGTAATGTGGTATTTATTTTTCTAATTATTAAAGAAAATCTCAGAGCCAGAGATTTCCATTTCAATATGTTCATTGTGTTAATAAGTATGTTATAATATTACCCCAATGGAGTATTTCTTTTCTACTATATGTGTGGCAATTTTACTAATAGTCATTTACAATGTATTTTCAAAAGTTTTGTTTTTAAAAACATAGATGATTTTGAAATATATCTGAAACTTTATTCTTTATAGTGTCTAGTGAAATACTACAGGCAAATTATACTCCATAATAAAGTGACACACAGTATAAGTTTACACAAGTTGCTGTCTTCTGACATCAACATTTTGAATAGGTTGTTGAGAGAACCTATCAAAATGGAATACCTTTTGGTCCAGGAACACACAGCAGTAGGGTTTCCTGAAGAAAAAGATCACAGTGCTTTATAATTAGATAGTCTTTCATCCTTTCAACTTATAGCTAATATATGGGATTCCACTTTCTATGGATTATGGGCTCTAAATCGTGCTCAGTTATACATTAGAATGAGTACTCTTACTCATGAGAGCCCAAAAAGTAATTGTTATTAATATCTACTGCGTCTGTTCAGTGTTGTAATGATACCCTTCCCTGACAACAGTAGTCTGTACATTCAAGGTCGTTCATTGTTTACCCTTGTAGAGTGTGCTTTAAAATAGGCTTCAGTGTGTGCTAAGTGATTTGATGTGCCTGGATCCTAGTCTTCACTTTGCTTTTTACCTAAAAAAAAAAAGTTTGAACTTTTATTTTCCCTTTTCATGTGACATATGCCAACTTTTGAAGGAGGAATGGCTTGTGGATGTCTCACTTGTTCTATTATGGTTTTTATTCTTAATATGGGATCACCTATAAGGGAGTGTGATGGAGAACTACATTTAACAATGCTGGCTCATTTTCCCAGTCCACCAGCCAAGTTTTTATCTTCTCCTTTCAGGAGACTCACTCGGAGGACTTCTGTCTTTTAAACCCTGGCCTTTAGGGTTGCCTGATTCTTCCTCATTTGCTTAAATTTGAGACATGGCATTTATGATGGAATTTCTTTAATATTTATGGAAGTGCCATTAACTATGCATTGCGCTACTAGGCAAACATGCTGCCGGCCCTTGGGTTTGTTACAAGGTCCTGGATAACTCTATTACTTTTCACCTCTCCAGCTTCCAGCTGTTGCGAAGTGAACCCCACGCATTCATCCATGGCTTTGTACTATGTGGCTGATGGTAATGCAATACTTTGTTTACTTCCAGGGTCTGATTCATACAGTACACTTATGGCGTTTTCACGCTCATAAATGAGTCACAGCTTTTAAATGGCCCTTTCAAGTTACAAAAGTCTGCACTTTAGACACCTTCAGTGTGCGCTAGTGGCTTGCGAAGCCTCCGTGCTTGGGGTAATGTCCCCAAATGAAATGGTCGTTAAGGTCTTTTGAAAAAAAAAAAAAAGCATGGCCTCAAGCTTCATTTTCTCTTCATCCCTACATAGATTGATGTGGGGTGAAGGAGTCTACCTCCGAGGTCACAACCGAGAGTAAGATTTGCGGCAGGGGGCTTTGATGGCCTCATCTCAAGAGTGAGGGATGGGCCTTCCGGGGTTCTTACAGCACCACAGCAGCAGCAGCATAGGCATCCAAGCTCAGTAGACCCCTGACAGCACAGCCAGCTCAGCCGTCTGACCCCTTGGGAGCCCATGCTCAAGTCCATTCCTTATGAAGTTTGAGCTCTCTTCTTCCCAGGTTTCAGAAATCCCTGAAGTTACAGCAGGTAGAATGTGTGTAAAGTGTATACATGAAGGCTTGGTTGGTGAGCTCATGCAGTTGAGTTTCACTGGACCCTTTTAGTTTTAAGAAAGTTCATACCTTTCTTAGACTCCAGGCTGGATTGGAGGTAAACAGTGTTTACTATTTGCCCATAGATTTTTTTTTTCTGCATTCTATGTCTGTTTTGTTTTCAGTTCTGGATATCAAAGCCAGGTCGTGGAACATGCCAGTTGGTGTCTATTTTAAAGCTATAGCCATACTCCCAGTGCATCTTATTAGTTTATATTTAATGCTTCTTTACTGCAAAAATTGTATCAAAGTGAAGGAGAAAAATTTTAAGACAAAAAGGTTTCTTCTTGTACAATAAAATTTATACATCTTGGCCATGCACCAAATTTAGACATATCTGCTTCATACTACAACAGTCAACTTTTATGACCTTAATCCATGTTAATGAAGTTGTTCACTGTTAGTAGTCAGAGAATAGGACCTTTATGTTCTATTCCAGAGCTTGTGTTTGGTAATAAGGCACCTACTGAGTGTCAGGAACTCTGTTTGGCTATGCTCCAATAAAGAAAGGCATGAGCTGCTTCTCTGTTGCTGGCCTGGCCGGAGAGTTCATGGATGACTCCTGGGATCGCAGGAAGGACAACAGTCCTTGAACTTCCCCACCCTGCCAGTTACAACTCTTCTTGGTCCCTGGCTCAAAAACCCCACAGATTAATAAATACTCTGATCACTGCCAAATTTCCAGGGATGCTGGAAAAAACCAGTAATGAGATATGAAAATTTTGCGTGGTACTGAAGTCAGAGGCACTTTAATCTCCTGGCTATCATTCGCTGCTTAGTGAAAAGTATGGAATAATAAAAAATAAAACTTAATTATTAAGAGTTTTCAGCATAGTTTTGGCTAAAATATATAAAAATGAATATTACACCATATTCATTTTTAAAACAACTTTAATGAAGTTTACTTTATATGTAATAAGTCTATCGATTTGGATGGTTAATGTTGTGGATTATGAAGACAGATTTGCCATTCTGTACCATTCAAATCAGCAAAATCAGACAATACAGTTGAAAATCTTTTATCTTCAGAAATAATTGTAAAACCTGTGTCAGTATAAAGTTTGTACAGTTTCTTCTAATTATTATTCTTTATCAGCACAACATAGCTATTTATATGTATTTGTGTTGTACTATATGTTAAGAGGAAC